AAATCAACCAATCAATCAGGCACTTCAAGTGCGCGCAACACTATTGATAACTAGCTCACACGCAGACATTGGGGGTTTGTCTGCAGAACAGCTACTGGCCTTTAGAATGGGTTGGTAATGTATTTAAGTTATGTATTGTATTGTATGCGGGAGTAGTTTTTTCCTCTAGTTAATAAGTAAATTACCTTTTGACGGACAAATGCCCAAGCTTTCTATACTGAAACTGTAACAGTAGCATAAGCATCGTAGTGGGGGGAAGACATCAGCAAATTGCCCCGAGTACCATGTATTGAAAGGCTATGCTGCGCTTGAATGACGTACCGTTAGGATGAAGGTATGGAAGGAGGTAGCTATGGCTCTGAGAGAAGTGAAGTTCGTGAGTTAAACTCTTAGGACTTGGATCGTTGGACGAACTTGAGGATATCCCAGAGTATTCTCGAGTGTGTGAATAACATGGAGATTGCTTAAATATCCCATTGTATGTATTTCTTATATTATCTATGTAACAGGATACTCCTCTGTATACTTGGATTAGGGGGTTCTACACACTAGTGGATGTTCCAACATATGTCCTTGTCTAACCGAGATAGGAAGGATGTGAGAGATCCTTGCACCGATAGATACCACTAGGGATCTATTGAGAAATCTGTGTCATACCAATGAGTGATGATCTAGGTCAATAATATCTCATATCTCATGGCGCATGTGCACATTATTATAATATGAACAGTTTATTGTAATGCAGTCATGTTACTCTCCTAATTACATCAGAAACCAGATTGGACACCGGATTCCAAATGGTGCGTGGAATGCGCTTGACGATATATCCAATGCGATCTTCTACTTGATGTGTAGTTCCTGAGAGAGAGGCCTTGATAGAGTCAGCGTATTCCATTGAAAGTTTTAGCGAATTATCGAACGAAAAGGACATACTGAATCCGCTTGAGGTGCAGGAAACGGAGGCGATAAAGTCCATGGGACTAGGAACAAATTTTATGAGAGTAGCTTTGACAGCTATGGCATCAGCCCTAAATAGAGGGACTCCCTCAGTCAAGCGGAAGGTTGTTTTAGGGCCCTTAGATTTTACAGTGGCCTTTTGCACAATTGTGCGAGGTTTTCGATTGTTGGAGATAGGTTGGGCTGGAGCTGAGGGAACAGAGGCGGATGGGCGTGCGGCGGTCGCTGGCCAGTTATGAGGTTGATTTGACATGGGAGAAAGAGGTCGTGATAGTCTTTTTTAGTTGGGCTTTTTTTATTTCATCAGATTTTAAATGCGTACACAGCTATTTAGCAATGACACAATATCAGAGAAGTGCATAATAGATGACTCAATTTGAAAGAAAAGCACTCATGCCTCGGATTTCATTTGCAAGTACCACTGCGAAGTTATGGCGGCTTTTCCTTCACCCCCAAGTCAACCCTCATCCGTGAATACCCACTCAGGGGAACGTCCCAAAAACCCAGATTTATCCAGACATGCCTCCGTCATCTATTATCTTTCCTTCGCGCGAAATATGGTCTTAGGCGTCTCCTTCCCACCGGGTTGGGCTATCTTGGAGTGTCGTGCCGCATAGGATTGGCGTAATGGAAGTTGGATGTGAAAAGTACGACATGATGATTCAATCTAATGATTCTAGCTAATTTTGTGTAAATTATATAACGTGATATATAGCGTACCATTACTACAATATCTCCATTCTTTATAACAGTCGAGGCCAACTTATTATGATAGGTATATGATTTGGAAATGTACACTTGCGCTGTAACAGCTAAGATAGTTTGTGGAGAGATATCTTCTTTAATATACAGAAGTGAACTTCCTATGAAAATTGTTATGTTACAGATTGGGGGAAGCTCATCCCTTATCCCCTAGCTTGTTCGCTTGTAGACCGATCACGTAACCAGTATGCAGCTCACCAAAGTGTGCTCCCGAATGAGCAGCCATGCCATTTGTACTATATCAACAACCCATCCCTCATGCTGCACACATTACTACTTGTAATGTTGTTATGTAGAGACTGGATCTCCTTCATGCGCCATAATACCATGCTGCCACAATAACTACCTATGTACCAGCTTCTAGATCTACCATGCTACATAGCTGAGTATAACACAACTTGATCCAATTCCCCATCGACGTATCAGGTGCTAGGTACGCTCTAGAAGCCCATCGGATGGCTTTTCCTCCTTGATTAAGTGTTGATGATGAGCAGGGCCCCGACCCTACCATCTGATCTGACCGCGGTTAGCTTCATGATAATGGTGATAGGGGAATGTGCTGAGAGATGAAGACGATACAGATGGCGAAAGCGATTAGTAATCTTCATCGAAGTGAGGACGGTGTTACACAATCTTGGCTCTGCAGGCTCTACACTGAAAGATAGCGGTTCATAGTGGATACCAATGATAGGTGTTATGGATACTCCACCATATTTGAATTGTAAGTTGGCACGACGTTGAATAAAAAAGAAAAAACAACGTAGCTATCAGCTCTGGAGTATCTCTTTGTAATACGAACGATAAAAGAATTACGATACAGAGCACCATAACTCCTTACGTATGTGTAGTTCATTGTGCAACTTGATTAGATGAATATCCAGGAAACTCCACCCAACCAATTCGGTCTGTTGTGAAACCACCCATAGCCAATCAAACACATCTAGCTACCTAACTATGACACAACATTAATGTCGTGTGCACTCGTTTGATGATTATTTCCATTTTTAACCCCCAATTCCCTTTTGAAAATGCGGCCACAGGGTATACTGACTTACATTACATGTTTGACTCTCATCAATGAGTATACACAGAAGAGAGATTTATGTTTTATGGAACCAAAGCATGTCTTCATTCTTCTGCGTATCAAAACTGCGAAAAAAGTGATTTAGTCATGCTGGATTTGAGAAAATAAACTCTCTACAACATTATTGTTCAAGCTGTCTATACCCTGTTTGAAAGATCTCACCAAGTAATGCACCGCTGTACAATCCATCCAAACCGAAATATCGTGACTTGCTAACTATAGATGTTGGAGAATAATTGACGGCCGGGGCTACATGAGCTAGAAATAGTCATGGCGTCATGGCGCCTTGGCAAGGCATGTAGGGCCCAAAGGGTCCGCGGGAATTATTGGATCCATACCAGCAGCGCCGATCCCATCTATCAAGCAACTCAATTATTCAGGCAAGCGCTCATGAAAATTGAAGAATATATTGCCCCGCTGACTTAGACATGAGTCTAAATATTCCCACTATTTCCGAATCCTCGCAATGAGATCCATCCGCAAGCGCCTGACTGCCGCAGGTTTATTAACAATATTTACTATTTCAACTCTTCTCAGTATACTTCTGTCGCTATCCCGAGAGCTTAGTCAGACACAGAGCGGAAACAAGCCCCAGTTCCTAAAGGAGTTTCGGGAACAACTTAGCGCTAAGCAAAGGACATGCGATGTGTTTTCAAACCACGATGGCATCGATGATATTGAGTTGGTTGTATTCGGTGACTCATGGGTCGATGATAAGTTGATTGCCGGACAAGAAAAAAGAGGGAAGACATGGCCAGAAGTGTTTTGCCAAGATGTATGTTCTTCTTGCCTCCAACCTAACCTTCATCCTTATCCGTCTAGATTAATTGCACTTCCCGCCTGACTTTTGCCGCTTCTCAACCACCATCCAGTTATCCGTACTTTGAGCCCGTCGGTGTCTACACCTCTCACCGCACCCATGACATAGCCCACAACAGAACATCTGCGCATGCTTCGCACGTGCTACCTGATCTAGAATCTCAAATTGACAGTTATCTTTCCCTTTCAACTTCAAACACTGCTTCAAGAACTACGATATTTCTGCTTTCACTTGGCTTCTGGGATATACACTCGCTCGCAGCCCTAACGCTTAATGTTTCTAGAGATATAATCGAGCAGTGCATTAATAATATTTTCGGCCAGCTCGATAGACTCTACGAGAATTTTAATGATGCTGCCCGATCCCTAGATATGAATCAAAGAACTTATGAGTCCCGAGAATTTTGTGTTATTCTTCCGAAGGTTCTTGACCCAACTCTATCGCCAGGCTGGCTAAAACAAAGAAATTTATCCCGAGTTGCAAGTTCTACAGTCGAGCAACAGAAAAATGCCATTTATCTCACTGAACTTTGGAACGAGCATCTTGAAAATAAGACCATGGCTTGGAAATTAAAAGACCCCGTCGGCCCTAAGGTTCATCAGACTAAGATTATTCAAGGCAATAGGAAACTAATATTTACCTTAAATATTCCTCGAATTCTGCTTGACATAATTTTTAACTACTACACTGACTCAAATCTGCGCCACGACGCGGTTAGCTCCAGTCTTCAAAGCTTGCATGAGCCGTGTGTAAAAATATACCAGCCCGCTAGTTTTAATGGCACGCCGCAAAGTAACACTAGTGGTGTTCAGGTTTGTACTCGCCCAGAAAATTTTATGTGGTGGGATGCCTGGCACGTGGGTCCAGTTGGCAATGACATCGTAGGGAAGAGCGTGCGTAGTGCTGTGCTCGAACATGCATGAGCTATGGATCCATTATTAGACCAAATAAAGTTAACGATAAGAAATGTGTCTGATTGGGGGCTGTCTTTATTATTGGTTGCGAGGCGTGGCTTGGCTCGGTTTCGGATGTTTGACTTTCCATCGCGATTCATATGGCGCAATGCGAACTAATCTTGTTCGTGGTAAACGACAAAGAAATAAATGAAGGTATTGAGATTGTTCTCATAATAGACATATTAGATACATTAAATTAATCCGAGAACGGAAAGAAGAGAATATGGGGCGCTGGCGACGCCGCCTTACACTATCATCCTTCTCTAGTGCCGTCCAGCCTGTCGCTTAAAGCCTTTCGCTAAAAATCTTGAATAGATTAAGAAAATAAATCAGGCTTCATATCAGTGGTGCGGCATGTTACCACTCGAATGAAGAGGAAAGAAGTAATTTACATGAAGGAAAATATTCCCCCCTTAGAACACTAGTTTTGGTTGGTAGCTGAAGACGCCGCTTTATTTGTAGATTTTGTCAATCCTATACCGAGGCCAACTCCCAAAGCAATAGCCACGATTATTAATATTACGACTAGAAGGCAATACCACTTTAATTTTCGAGCTCGCGCCGCGCTGTTTTTTGCTGCATCGATCTGGGTGTTAGCTTTATCGATATGTTCGTTGGCATGAATGGCATTCTGCTCCGTATTCTCGATTACTGGATCCTGAGCTTCGACTATTTGAGCCATATCGGCGAAAAGGTTGGCTAGATCAGTGAGGGTTGACTCAATTCGTTGTAGTTCATTATGGCGTGCGCGCACATCGCCGAGAACGGAAGATACTTGTCCAAAACGGTTACTTTTTAGCTAGAGACACACATTAACTACTGAAATATACATGGCAAATTAGGGTTACTGATGGAACTTACAGCCGTTTGGAAGACACCCTCTGATCCCCAGTCCAATTTACTAGCTTCTTCAACTTCAGCATCGCTGGCTTCGGGATTTACGATTCGATACTGTCGAGCGATCTGATCTCGATATCGCTGCCGATAGGCCAACTCTTCCTGACGATAATCATTCAAGCTCTTCTCGAACTCGCCCTTGAGTTGTTTGGCTTGCCGTGCCTTGAGGCTCTTTGAACCGTCTTGTGTCTTGATTGCATCAGCTTCGATCTGCTTAATCTGGTCACGAATCTGCGTATTCTTGAGCTGAGTCTGCACCACCAGATTCTCCAATGGCGATGACGAATTGCTTTCTGGCGACGTGAGGGCCCGCTGGTGCAAAGCGGCAATTTCCTGCACATTGGATGATAGCGAACGAATCTCGGATTTGATAAAGTCGACCCGCGCTAGAAAGTCTTGCTGAGCCAGAACTGTGGGGGTATGTGCCTGGTTTTGCTGATGAGGTGGGGAATTCACAGATCCTTGCTGGGTGGCGGACGAGGGCTGAGATTGGTAGCTCTATCGGGGAAGATATTAGTTGACATTCATCGGGTTGCCAGGTCGTCTATTGCAACGTTCATGACCTACATTTCTGGAAATTCCAGCTTCGGCGTCTGATAGGTTTCCATATGGGTTGCTCCCATTTTGGTTCTGTTGACTGTACACCATGACGCTCAATTGAGCTGAATTCTGGAATATTAGCTCTGTTGTCTGATGAGACTCTTCAGCTGCTCGTCGATTTGTCTCTAGTTGTGGTCATATGACGCGATAGGAGTGCTGCAGCAGGAATCGTAGCTTGAAATATGCTAGTTGGTAGATGACATTTTGAAGAGTTGCGTTTGGTAGCTTCACTTTAGCTTGTCTAGGCGTAGCCTCGGAGATTCAACGAGAAGCTGGCTAAATTCTACCAGACAACTTTCGCGTAGAATAATCATCCTGACTGGGATAATCTGAGGCCAATGCTCAGCCACAAGCGACTCATTGTGCGCTGAAATCACGTGAATAGACAGCTAATGTCCTTTTTTCCTTGCGAGCACGTCGGTCTAAGTTTCAGAACAGGGGTGAATTTCCTATGGAAGCGCGCAGTGCGTGATTGCAAATTCCTCGTTAAATTTGAAGGGCCATCTGCATGCAACCAAGAATGAGACAATCCCTCTGCCCCTACCAACACTCGCTTTCGTGAGTGAGAGGAATGAAGAGAGCAGAAAGTTTGGACGAAGGGCCGGACGTCCTCGAGAATGGTCAGGCGGCGGCCCTCGCAACGCAGGAGCGACGACGGTTTTTGCGAAGTTCCGATCCGATATCCTTCACCTGTAGTTGCTCAGATGCAAGTGACGCTGCCGGACTGGTCCTACTCTTCTATCGCTACTACGCCTCTCCACCACTGCTTCCTCAGGAGACGCAAGAATCACCCTCATCGCTCGCCGCTTTTCATGGCGCCCTTGCGAATCAGCACAGGCTTCGTGGGAAGATTCGACTGGCGGCTGAAGGCTTCAACATTACCGTGGCTGGCCTGCGACCTGCCGTAATGGCTTATATCGAGGCCTGTACATCTCATTGGTCCTTTGCCGGTCTTTCGCTTTCAACTCCTGCCCAGATCCATGCTTTCTTCAAACCGACCACTGGCTGTGCCTGCGTCTTTGGCACTAGACCTATTAGCATACGAGTCTGCGCCGAAATTACGCCTATGGGTGTCACGGGATACCAACCTTCGCGATGGGATAACATTGGAACTCTACAGCCAGCTGAATTTCATGAAAGGTGTTTGGAAGATAATTCATTACTCATAGACGTCCGAAATCATTACGAGTCACGCATTGGATACTTTGTGGATGGAATGGGGCATGCAGCACTTCGACCTGCGATTCGAAGGTTTTCCCAATGGCCTCTCTACGTGCGCCGGGTTCTAGCAGGTGACATAGTTCCGAGAGACAGTTCCGATGAGCATGAAGCCACAAACAAGCCAAACGAGCCCCCTAAACAAATATTAACATATTGCACGGGAGGCATCCGATGTGAAAAGGGTGCTAGGTTTCTTCAGGAGAAACTTCAGCCTAACAGCAACCAGATCTTTACGTTGGGCGGAGGTATTGCGGCCTATCTAGAATGGATGGATATGGAAATACAGGGAGGACGAAAACGCGCAGAAGACTCCTTATTCAGAGGCCGCAATTACGTCTTTGACGCTAGAGGCTCGATGAGCCTTTCAAGTGGCGCCCGTACTAAGCCCGTCTCAAGCTGTCATCTCTGCGGAAAGAGTGAGGACCGACTGAGCAAGTGTCACTCTTCCGGCTGTCACCTGGTACTGGTCGTCTGCAAATCATGTGAGCTTGAAAATCCAAGATGCTGCGATCATTGTTTGACTTTGGATTTGGAGTTTGTGTTGGACGAACCCACACGTGCGGTAGGTTATAGGCCGATATGCGAATGTGAGAGAACGAGAGAGGCTTGTTTATGGGGCTCTAAGGGATTCATTAAATGTTGAGAAGGTCTTTGTTCGTTCTTCATCTTCTCTGTGGAATGGATTAAGAATCTACAGGAAAGCGACAGTATCTAAGTTCAAGACAATTCACCATATCCCGACCGATTTGGGGGGTCTGTGTGCCACTACTCACGCAAGCGATTAAGCTTCCTGGACCATAGATCCAGCAAAATAAAGGCAGATGCAGTATGAGTAAACATGCACGTTCTTAGAACATGTATCCTTGGTCGGTCGGCTGTGAAATTTTATCTACATCTCTTTACGTCATCATCTGAACAAAAGTTATTAAAAGAACATCTTCGATAATCAAATCTTACTCATCCGTGCTCATCTAGGTTGATCATATGTACTTTAATGCAATCACAATGCCCGTATCATCTGAATTCGCGTGAAATCATCGACAATTAAGTAGTGTTAAGAGAGGGAGACAATTGACTACAAAACAGAGACTAGGAAGAGCGCATATACGATTTAGATAAACAAGAAGACACAGCTACAGCCGCAAATTCCACTACTTTAAATTTGTGTAAGTTGTTATCATAGATGCATCGAAGGTACTACGTTATAATCTCTGTTCCGTCACTTCATTAAGTGAAATTAACTTTGTCCAATTTAGATTAAGACTTCTATATCATTTTAAAAAGATTTTATGGTTGAGCCGGAATTGTAGGAATAGATGCAAGCTGACAGCCAGCAAGACTACTCCGTTACGCCCCTAATATGCAATATTAGTAGTAAATGAACAGTATGAAGTAAACCAACGTCCCTTTTCCTTGTATTGTTTAAATCCCATTGTTGGCCGAGTCTTTTAAAAGCTTGGATTAAGTTCTGCTCAAAAGTCCTTCGGCACGCTGTTGCTAGACCCTAACCACAAGGAGATTGTTGGAGGGTCGGACAAATTTTTTCCATTATATTCGACCGACCTTCAAGGCGAGGATCTGTTGGGAAATAAATAAGCAACTAAGTCTTCATCTCTTGACAACAGAATGACTCACATCGTTATTACCAGTGGTTATGACGTCATCTTCGGCAACCCTGAGACCCCCTACACCCTCTACGTATGCTAGTGGCGCATCACCTAATACTTTACGAGCAAATTCGGCTACTGTGGTACCCCTCTTCACTAACACACAGTCACGAAAAACTGCGGAGGAATGATTTGCGCTGGAAGTGAATGTTGTAACGTTTCGCACCGTAAATACAGGGACAAGACCGAGTAGTTCGGCTGCGCGAGAAAGCGCTTGAACGACACCAGTGGAGCCAAAGCGATATAGAACCATATCTTTAAGATTCTCAATACGTGTGCGAAGTTTTTCGTCGAGCTCTTTCAATCCACCGCCGGTGGGATCGCCATCTGCAATGAGATCCTCGCGCGTTGAAACAATCTCACTTCCCTCTATGTATTGCACGTAGCCTTGTTTCGTTAATTTGCGCAGAAATATCTCAGATATTGCACTACACAAGACTATGCTTTGCGGATTTTGCATTTTGGCAATTTTGGAGATGTTTTTGTCAGCATCAGGATGATCAATTTTGTTAAGAGCTATGACGGTGGGGAATTTTTCGTCAACAAATGTCTCAACTACTTTGGTAATGATCTCAGGTGTCCAATTCTCTAAAGGTTCTTTGAGGGAAAGCCTGTCGAGTGTGCGCCCTATTACAGGTGCAGTCGAACCGTAACCGGAAAATTGACCCTGCGTATATCAGCCACAAATTTTGGGCCAGAAAAGGTCAGATGGAGGGGCAAGAAAACTACTTGAAGTGTGTCTATCGCCGTAGCTTTGATGGCCATATGTCTCCTTCTGATGGATCCCCATTTCTGAGTAAGGTTTCCTAAAACCCATTGCACAACTGAGAACACCACCTGTTAGAATGTCCACTGGGATTAGGTCCTCATATTAATTCGGCCTTCTAGCGTTTACTCACTTTCGGAACGCAACCAGAAGATATCATAAGATGGATCATATCCTCTTGTAGATTTTCCCTCTGCATCAGTGGTGCCAGAGACATCAACCACATGTATCAGCGCGTCAGCGTGTCGAAGGTCGTCGAGAAATTTATTTCCTAACCCTTTACCTTCATGAGCACCGGGTACAAGCCCGGCTACATCAATGAGCTCGATTGGGACGGAGCGTCGCCCATCAATACATGAGCCATAGTTGGGCTTACAGCGACTGGAGAGATTGTAACGTTTACAGGCACACTCGACCTGGAGATACCCGATAGCACGTTGAGGATCGATGGTGGTGAAGCTGGATAGATTTTAGTGTGGCTTTCTAGATTATCTTATGAAAGAGCGACTGACGGAAAGTTGCCTGATAGGTCGTAAGCTTCTGATATCGGCGAGTAAGGATGAATATGAACTGACCAACTTTTGATGATGCATCAGTGAGACTGTTTAGGGTGGTACTTTTACCGCTGGAAGGTTTACCAACCAGTCCAATCAGGGGATCCCGCGGCATGTTGAGCGCGTGGCATGGAGTATGTCTCTCTTGCTGCGCCGAACGCGAGCGAGGCTCTCGACAGAAGCAATGGTCATTTGGTTGGAGCTGACATAATATTACAATTAACAAGGGTTAAATAGGAGGGTTGCCGTCACCACCGGCCTCCCCGGCGAGCTTTTGCTGCACCCCAGCTTGAAGTTGGCCCAATCTTTCTTACTCGCACACCCCCGGCTTCAATTTGACCCACAATCCTTGGCCCATTTACTATTCCCAGACTAATAATCTGCACAGCCACAGCCCGCTTTACGAGCAGAGCGCAAATCTAAAGATCCAAGCCAGTAGGAGCCGTTGGTGTCCGACGCGAATAACAAATTATACAGCGGCCAGCGTTAGGAAACGGTACTCCATGATGACGATGTAATTTTTTTGGGTGTAAGTGATTAAAGAACCAAGTAAATATCCGCATTTCATCTCTGGCCGGGCAATCCGTGACAGGCGTTGGCACTATGCCTATACCTGGTCATCAAGAGCCCCACTATATTTCGGGCTTAGGAAAGGCTGACAGTGTAGAAACCGTCGTCATCCTGGATTTAGCCGAAGGTGCCGCCGCGAGCAGGAATTCTCATTTCATCTAAGCTTATATATCACGACGTTCTTCTGACCACTCAGACACCATCACAAATTACCAGCGCTGAACCAGAAACAACACAATCGATCAAACCTACGCATCTGATCTCTAAGTTAATATCTTTTCTAATCTCAGCCAAACCTCTAAAGATGCCTTTCACTGCCAGGTTAGTGTTCATAATTTCTAGATCATAAACCACTCCATACTTAGTGCAATATTACTTTCGCAATAAATAAAACGATTTTTAAGGCTAACTCTCACGTAGCGATATCTTCAAAATAATTCTTGCCGTCATACTACCTCCTCTTGGAGTTTTCCTCGAGGTAATGATAACAAAATACAATTTAATACTATTGCTAACTTTTGTTTCAGCGCGGCTGTGGACCCGACTTGCTCATCAACATTTTGTAAGACTTTGTTGACACCCTCATCACCAAAGAATCCTGAAGGGTTTTCTAACATTTTGGATCTTAGATTGACGATTCTTGGTTACATACCCGGGATAATTCATGCACTGTTAGTAAACCTGAATAGCTTCACACTCGTCCTAGACTCTAAATTCTAACTTTACTTAAGTTACATTATATTTAAGTATTGAGATCCCGAAGTTTTACAATTATCAGACAACCTATACCCAAAAGGGCAACTTACAACTATCATTCAAATATCGATAGCCCTGCGTTTGAGCGACTTCAATCTGTGTGTTCATGAGGAGCCTCTATGGGTGCTAAGCCTACCACGACTTCATCAGGATCCATTAGACACATTCTGAATCGAAACTTGAGAAATACCTGTTCACTAAAAACATTATGTACAGGTAATTCGTCCATTGTTTGTTGGTGGAGTGATTGAAGTTTGCTGTAATTTAGGACAAATTTAGCATTAATAGATTGCTAGTTTAATGAAGGCATGACAACCTGTAATCTGAGTGCTACAAAACAATGATTTTTGTGAAATCGTCATTTGAAGGTTTGGGAGCCATATATAGAAAGCACAGCTATCGCTGTGCCTCCCATTGACTTCATCTAGGAAAAAAATACCATGTGAACGTTATACCAGTTTTGACGTATTTTGAATCGATCTAGCACTCAAAAGTAACCCAAAATCTACTAAAATTTGGTTCTGTCCCGAGCTTGCCAGTATCCAGTATCTCAGACACAGAATATCAAGTCTAAGTTGCCTTTTAATTAACGAATCATGTCTACGATCTTAACTGGCGTTCATGCTTTTCATGATATACCTGAAAATTTTGCAACTGATGAGTTAAAGTTCACTCGTATCAATCAAATAAGTAACCAAGAAATTAGATCTATATCATGCTGAGACCAAAGTCCAGTTAAGTACCCAGAATAACTAAGCTGATTTATTGGAAATTTTGAAGAGTCACATGATATTTTCCATTTATCGATCTCTTATCAGATTCACTCTGGTACATCAAAGTCTTACATGTTACGATCGGCTCTAAAAGAGGGCAAGACTGAACACCTGTACGCGGCGTCCTCTACGAACCTGGGAGTGAAATATTTTCCTAGAGCCAATTTCAGTCAAATTTCGCAATATCAAAGAAGTTGGTCCACGAGGCAACGATTCAAAATAATCCACCGTGTCAATCTTTCTCTCCCAGAGAGTCCGACCCATACCTAAGCCTCATCAAGCCTACAAGTACGACCTTGTAGATCCTCATTCCAACGATCACACCTCTCGTCGACTTTCTCTAGCCTCAGCTGGTCGCCAAATACACGCCCACGCCGATATTTACACCCGACGGAGGATGCAAGGCGTGGCGCACAAATCTAGGAGACAGATCTTTGGGATGGACGTGAGAGGATTCCGGACAAGTTGACAAGATGATGCGACGGATGGATACAGTCTCGATGGGCGTGGAATTTTGAAATTTGGCAAGTAGTTTTTAAAAATTGAGCTTTGTGCGTGCCAAGTCTTCGGTTGCGAGAGTGCAGACGACACTTTAAACATCCCCATGGTTGGATGGTGCGGTGGTACATCGTCTTGGCCGGTCTGCCAAGTAGATTCTGGATAGCTTGGACGCTTATTCCACTCGAGACAGTAGATCGCTGGTTCAAATCCGGCAAAACACAACCACATTTCTCGCGGCGCTGGTATGCATGGATGACGAAGGCATGCTTGGATAACCAAAGGGTTTGAAATTTCCTTTGGTGGGTAGTTACGGAGGAAGGTTGACTGTTTGTGTAAGCGAACATACCTCATAGTGGTATTTGCGAATGAAATCCAGAGTATGGGTGTCTCTAACGTTAAAAAAGTTATCCCACATGTATACATAGTGTTGAAATCTAGACATGCCAGACCGAACTGCACGCAGTGCGGAGTAGACGAAGACTACTCATCTTCGATCGCTACCAGCTTTGGTGAGGTCTCGGTTGGTGATGATCTCGGTGGTGTGAATGTTATTCCATCACGTAATCAGAACACAATGTTTCTACCTAAGCGAGGTAGAACATAGATAGACAATTAGATGTAGATTAAAACACTAACACTTTTAATTACCGAAATATAAGTTCAGTAAAACCAAAAACCTCACTGATCCTAACCTTTTATCTCTGATCCTTAAATCCCCAATATCTTACGATTCCTACAGTATTGACTTGACGGTCAGCGTTCACTTCTATCATTCCAGATACCCCCTAGAACTTTAATACATAGCACCGGTCATGTGTCATATCTTTATAGCTGAATACACATCAAATGATTTAAAAAAAAAAGATCGGCTCTAACTACAAACTTCTCAAAAATTTTGCATAGTGATAAAAAAGCGGTTGAACCTTTCCTGCAATCTATTGTAGTAGAAGCTTGATATTTTTGGACGCAAAAAAGTATTAAATCCTGAATTATTAATAGTAAAACGCATTCTAGTGCTTGGTTTACAGTTTCGCACAGGTATTCATTCCTTCAACATCGGTGAGAGCTTTAGTGGACTTTGGGATCACGTCAGGCAAGCTATTCTTTTCCTTTCCTATGGGGTTAACGAGAGATTTGGTTGTTTAAGGGGCTTTTTCATCTGGACTTTTGAGTTATCATAAAATAACCTAGACAAAAAAGTACTATCGATCTACTAACTTAAATGTAACAGGTTTGTACTAGTCGATCAGTAGTAGAATCTTAGAGCACGAGACTTGGAGGACGAAGGCTGGGCATCTATCAGTGGTGTACTCTACAAACCGTGGAGTGAAATATTTCCCTAGAGCCAAGATCCAGCCATCCCTGAACACTCGAATCAATTTATTTCTGAACTGATAGTCTTATCAGAGGGAGTAATGCTGGGCTGATTTAGGTCGGAACTCTTGGATTACAGAGATTTCTCTACTACATAAATCGCGACAAAAATTATTTGGACTATTCAAGCCGGTTTCAGCTTAAACTGTTACTGCACTTCCTCCTCAATATATAAACCAAATTTAAATCCCTATTTAAAGCCGAAAAAAGCCACAAATCGACCCTCTATTTGAACACTTTTGTCTACGGGGAATTATCGGAAGACGCCAAACTTGGGTTACCGAGTAGGAATGATTTATGACAAAATAAAAGCTTGCGAGAGATGCTAGGCTGTGGAAGCTTTGGAAGTGGTCAAAATGAAGGACTCAAGATTGCAAGGGTATCACCTAGAGGATTTGCAAAGGCAGTCACCCCATCAAGATTATCGCAAATTTCGGAGCTACTGAGCAGTGGCTGGGCTTCACTTTAAATTTGCCGGGATTTTTTCGGGTGCTAGCATGTTGGGTAGTCTTTACAGACTGAGCTAACCGGCACTTGGCCCTGTAGTCTAGTGTTGTGTGCCAGCACGATGTTAAGTAAAAAAAGAGCATGAGACTTTCGTTCTGCTCATATAGATCTACTCAAAACAAAAGAGGCTTCAGCGGTGGCAAAGACAAATTCCTCACCTTGGAGTGGTGCCGGTGTAATCGCTTATTATGCTCTGCATAACTAGGATAGCCAAGAAGAATTGCAACCGAATCGAAGTCGAAAGCAAACGCAAGCATTCCTTCATTTGACGAATTTTCAATACTGTCGCTCTTACTATTCTCATCTAAGTCCACAACCTCTTTCTAACCATGGATCATCTCTCATCAAAGAATGATAAAAGAGTCGCCCCAATTGCAAACAGGAGCTTGCCTCAATAATTTCCAGCCATCTCTCACTACATATTTATGACGCTATTTTTACCCGCAAGGAGGAAATTAAGTCATAATATACAAAGTTGGGGTCTTGGTTTATGAGAGACTGTTGCTCTAATGGGTCAAACAACTCAAGTAAGGACAGGCAGCTAAGATGTGAAACCAGAGGGGGAAGAGGTCTTTGAATACCGTGTTGAGACTGTCATCTTCGAGAGGCTTTTAACTTTGGAGTGTTTGTGGGC